GTCTAAGTAAAATCCTGTGCTTAGCACAGGAGCTCGACCAGAGAAGTGGAAGCTTTAGATCTTCTCAGACAGATCCAGTAGAGAATCCAAGACCCACCTACTTACCATCTACAGTGAATCTGTCCTCAACTGCCTGAACTCACCCTCTACCTCAGGCAGCTGGAGCCAGTGAGAGGTTGGCCCAAAGTGGGTGTGGGAGCTCACATTTCCTGGGGACAGGAAGGCCACCACCCTGCAGCACTGCACTTAGCATTCTCCCCCCAGGATAAGAGGGCATGCGTTCTGAGGTAGAAGACCGGCTGGTACCTTGAGTGAGAAATTAGGAGCACACGGTAAGTCAGGGCCCACAGGTGGGAGACAACTGTAAGGCTTATGTTCATCATACTTATGCACGATCATCCGCTCCTACTCCACACTGTGGTCTGCTCACTCCTTTATCCTTCCTTCCTTCCTTCCTTCCTTCCTTCCTTCCTTCCTTCCTTCCTTCCTTCCTTCCTTCCTTCCTTCCTTCCTTCCTTCCTTCCTCCCTCCCTCCCTCCCTCCCTCCCTCCCTTCCTTTCGTTTTTTTTTTTTTTTTTATACAGGGTTTCTCCGTGTAGTTTTGGTGCCTGTCCTGGATCTTGCTCTGTAGACCAGGCTGGCTCTGCCTCCCAAGTGCTGGGATTAAAGGTGTGTGCCACCACCGCCTAGCTCCTTTATCATTTCTTGAGAGCTGGATTCTTTCTCTGCTGGGCACTAGAGACTCTCAAGTTAAGCTGGAAGGAGCTGCAATATTGGTGATGGTGGTGGTGGGGAGGGGGCTCATGCTAAATCTAGATAGGAGGGTACATTGGACACCAAGGCCTCCTCTTGCTTCTGCAAGTCTAGACTTTGGCTCTGCCTGAGATGAGAGGTGGGTCTGCAAAGCATGCCCCAAGTGCTCTCTCCTGCCAACAGTATGCAGAGTCCTTAAGAGCCTTGGGTGAGGATCCAGCCAATGGCCAGGCCTGTGTCATAGACTAGATCCAGCTAGACTGGCATGGGGAAAGTCGGACAAAACAGGACCCATGAGAGAGAGACATGAGTGGAGTCTACGTTCTGTCTGTGAGTCATGCAGTGCCTCCTCAGGCTTTCTGATGGTCCATCCCTGCTCCCTGCTTCCCACCCCCATGCCAGCCTCTGGCCACCACTGGCCTGTTTTCTGCACCTATAGTTTTATCTTTCTGACAGTATTACATAAATGCAACCTTACAGCAAGAGCCCTGTCCTGGATTCCTCATGTAACATAATTCCTTTGAGATTCATCTGTGTAGCATGCACGCCTGCTTCCCTTTCTCCCCTTATTCTCTCTGAGGGGGGATCAAAAACCAGGTCTATGCAGCATCCTGCTACGGAGTCACACACCAAGTCCAATCGACTCCCCTTCAGTTCCGAGCAGTATTCCTCTGGACTGATGTATCTCAATTTGCTTGCCCACTGGCCAGCTGATGGACACTGAGATGTTCCCAGTGCTGTTGCCAGTGGAGCGCCTCTGAATGCAATCATAGGGATCATGGGTAGACACTAGATCTCATTAAAATGTATTTTATTGACTTTTAAGAAACTTCATCATGCATACAATGTATTTTAATCATATTCACCCTCCACCCCTCTGTCCTCTGACCTACTGAATCCATTTGTACTGCCCATATACTACTGGATGACATGGGACCCTCCACTGGAATGTGGTCAACTTTCAGGTGGCCACACTCCTAAAGAAAACCAGCTCTCCTTTCCCTAGAAGCCACCAACTCTTCATAGCATCGCAGCTGGGGCTGGGGACCCACGTGCTGACGGCCATGGCTGCTGCAAGTTCATGTACACAGAGTCCCCAGAAAATGGGGTGCGGTTTTGTCTTTGGGTGGGTGTCCAGGGTGGAGTTTCTAGTTGTGTAGCATGTGCTTGTTGAGCCACCGTATAGGAGAGCCATGCTTCTTCCCAAGTGTCAGGGACACTTTACGTTCCGTGGCCCCAGTACGGCAGGTTCCACTCTGCTTTCTGTCCAGGCCAGTGTTTGGTTTTGATTCAGCTCATGATTTTCTTTTTTTAAATTCTTGTGTTCTAATGCTGTGGGATTCTCTAGAAATACTTTAATTTCTGTCATGAAAAACATTCCAATAAACATTTCATTTGAATGGCATTTCATTAAAAACAAGTTTTGTTATTGTCCCTGACAGATCCTCAAGCAAAATGATTTATGTGTGTGTGTGTGTGTGTGTGTGTGTGTGTGTGTGTGTGTGTGTGTGTGTGTGTGTATGCACATCTTCTCAGTCACTACAAAATGAGTTTTGGTTATTTCCAATCTTCAAGGCTCCAGAGGTCAAACCAAGTGACACCAGCAGAGGGCGTGTGTCACCTACTATTAAACCACTCTTCGGCATCTAGCTTTTCCACTGATTCTGGTGATCCCTCTGCAGAGTAAGGGAGGAAATAGGGTTGCACTTTCCCTGGTAAAGACGTTTGGGGTCAGAGATGTATTCCATTGGTAGGGATCTGGGTACCTTAAAAGGAAAGAATGGGAAAGAAGCTTCTCGAAGTGTGTGTGTGTGTGGGGGGGGGGGGGGTCCAGTACTGGCTGCTGTTCCAATGTCCCTTCCTTCCATCTATTTATGAATGACCCTCTCTTCCTTACCCTCTGTAATGTGCTAAGAATGGCATCCATTCTAGAACATTCGTTCTGCCTTAAGGTGAGTTCTGCCCAGGCCGTACTGCTTTTCTCCTGGGTTCTGAGCTTTGAACCTGCTTGTGTTATTGACTTGCTTGCGATCTTCATCTTACATGCCTATCTCCGTTCCATGAACCCAATTTATACCAGGTACAGCACAGGTCCTAAGCATGCTCCAGGGAACATGACGTGGGCTCTTCCACCCTCAAAGACCTCACAGCTGGGATTGGAAGGGAGCTGTCCATAAGTAATGGGTCCCCACCCCCCCAGACCAGAAACAGAAGCTCAACCATAAACTCACAGCCTGCGCTGGGCTTCTGTGGGCATAGAGAACTGATGGTGTGGAGATACAGAGAGTCACTTCCAGGATGCAGGCTCTTAGAAGCCATGCATGCTCCAGTAGACAGTCTCTTACCCATGCACATGCAGTCTAAATAGACTCAGGGGACATTCAATATTTTAAAAATATCCATCTTACATTTTGAAACATCTACCACTGAACTCTGAGCTCATTGGTTTGACTAGGCTGGCTGGTCTGCAAGGCCCAGGAACTCATCTGTCTCTGCCTACCTTCCCTGCACTGGGGCTGCAGATGCATGCCTCAAAGCCTGGCTTTCTATGTGGACTCAGGGAGACAGAACTCAAGCGCTCACTCATGCACAACAGTCACTTTGCTGACTTGCGCATCTTCCCGGCCCCTGGCATCCCTTTTCTAAAGCACTGATCCATAAGCATCCCACCTCCCTGACCTGATCTCCCTGCATGCGCCCCACCTCCAAGTCTCTCCCAGATACAGGGATTTTTTTTTCTCATGTCAATATTCAGCATACAAATAGGAGAGAGAAACAGACATCTAGTCTGATGCAGGAGTTGAGACACCGATTAACCTTTAATATTCTCTAGACACTTCTGATTGATGAAGAGTTTTTCTCCAACGGCCAAATACTCAATAGTGGGTCATTACTCCTCTTTTATGGATGGGGAAAGGCCTGTGTTCCAGGCTGCACAGCCAGTAAGTAGCACAGACGGAGTTAGTTCTGTCCTTACAGTCACCGGCAAGGGCAGAGGAGCCAGAGTTTCAAGTGAACTGGAATTTTTCTAGCATCTTAAAATCTATGTAGAAACCTTACAAGCCCAGGTTATAAGTAATCTCGTTTAAAAACATAATAAAATGAGCATGGGGGGGTAGTGTGTCTAATGGCCATAGGAAGCTCTGCTTGCTGACTAAGGGTTGGAAAGGACCTCTAACCCTTGTTCTGCCCTGACTCAGAATTCCCCAGTGCTGAGGGTGGAGGAGAAGAGGGCTAAGCAGGGTCAGGGGCTGGTTCTCCCGAAGTATAGAGAACAGCAGAGTACCCTGAGGATACTTAGCAGAGTATCCTGAGGACACTTAGCAGAGTACCCTGAGGACACTTGATGAGGCCCATGCAAGTGCATCTTGGCTTATCTGTGCCCTTCTGGGGCCACCTGAGGATGGGTGGACTTACTCAAGGTCCTAGGTTCCAGGCTGACCGTGGTGGTAACTCATAAATCAGTAAACTGCTTTGTGGGCTCGCCGCATGCTTTGAGGGGCAGCAGGATATGCCTGGAAGAGGGTCACTTTCAGAAGAGAGCATTCTTCTGGGAGCTGGAAACAGAGAGCAGTCTAACAAGAAGCTACCCTCTGGGTAAGATGATCAGCACTCATGCATAATGGAGAGAAACTGATCCTCTGTGCCCAGGAGCTTGGTGGATTCCCCCAGCTCTGCCCTCCCCAGGACCAAGCCTGGTCAAGGGCATTGTCCAGTGCTCTCATGGGCTACGAAGCTCAGGTGTCTCCTTGGAAGGAGGGCCCTGATTGCCCTCGGAGTGGCCTGGAGGGGTCCTGAGTGCCACCCTCCCTGCTGTGAGGCCAGGTGAGGTGTGGATGCCGGGACATTATGTCACTTGAGTCTCTGCAAAGGGGCATGTATGGGAGGAAAGAGGACAACCTTCTCATTTTCATCAATAAGTGATAGAGCTCAAGGAGAGGCCCCAGTGCAGGTTCAGAGTAAGAGAGGGCGGCAGAGCCTGAGCTGGGGACAGAAAGGGGAAAAAGTAAAGAAAAAGAAAAAAAGCTCTGTGTTGGGCTGAGGGACCAGAGAGGAGAAAAGTGGGGCAAAGCTTTGGGATGGGGACCCAGGAGACCTAGGGAACAAGGCCAGTGTGACACATCCCGACCTGGAGCCCTAGGAGGGGCTGAGGGCTCTGCAGTTCTCTGAGTGAGAGGCACAGGTCTAGGGAAGGGATGGAGTTAGATTCATGAGCTTACCGGGTCCCAGAAGAGGCAGGCGGCAAAATGATGCCCCAGAAGAAAAAGCGGAGGAAGAAAGACATCGACTTTCTGGGCCTGTATGAGGAGGAGCTGCTGAACTACAATTCAGAGGACAACGAAGACGAGCTGGAGCATGAGTACTACAAGGCTAAGGGTAAGGTGGTGGAGCTGTTCCATCCTCTGTGGACCGGTCCACTGCTTACCAGCTCCTCCACACCCTGTGAGTCTGGGGGTTGGGGAGTGCAGGGCCCCATAGCGCAGAGATCAGGTGCCTTGCTCGTTGGCAGGGCTCCCGTGGAACAGAATAGGATTGTGGTGCTGGAACTGCCTCGTATTCTCAGCTGGCTGCACTGATCTTTAGACGGAGGGCCGGTATGCACACAATATAGGATGCAGAAGTACCAAGAAGAGAACTTACCTGTGGATATGCATGTGGATATGCTGATTTAGACCAGGATGGGGGCATTTACAGCCCCCAAAGAGCTCCTTCGTACCTCTGCCGGACCTAACAAATCTCCGGAATCTATCTCTACAAACCGCTTTTCCCCCCTGTTCTTTAACTTCATATAAAAAAAAGTCATACAGTATGTACTTTTTTTGGGAGCCAGGGTCTCACTATGTAGCTCAGTTCTTACCGTTTGCTTACTATGTAGCCTAGGCTAGCCCTCAGCTCTCAGCAGTCCTCATGCCTCAGTTGCCCAGTGCTGGGATTACAGGGGCGAGCTACATACTTTGCCATGTGTGTGTGTATTTTGGGGCCTGTCTTCTTTCTCACTTAACACCATGCCTGAGAGGTTTGTGCATGCTTTGACATGAGCCATATTTTGTTCTTTTTATTCACGAATATGATTGCATTTTATAACTACATCACCGGTGATTCGACCATTCTCCTGTTGCTGAACATTTGAGTTCCTTCTGCCTTTATTTTTGTTCTATCGTGAACAAAGCTGTACAGGTCTGGGACACACACACACACACACACACACACACACACACACACACACACACACACACACAAGCACGCATGCACGCACACACGCACACACACACACACTCATTTCTCCTGGATTTGTAATTGGAAGTTAAAGTTCTAGGTTACAGGGTGAATATCTGTTCACCTATCAATGCCTATAGCCTCTTGTGCATCCCCATTTTGTAAGAGAGAGACAATAGTTTCACATTCTGGCCATGCTTGGTATTTCCAGTCCTCTTTATCCCAGCCATTCTGGCAGGCATACGGTGGCATCTTCCTGGGATTTTCATTCCCCTGATGAATGATGGTGCTGAACACGTTTGTTTGTGCATCTCCCGTATTTGGTGGCCATTTGAGTATCTTTGGTGACACATTAAGATGTTTTCGCACTTTTCAGCATTGCTGAAATTTACTATGAAGTACATCTATTTTAAATGTCCTGTTTGACTAGTATATATGACAAGTCAATGTAAAGAATATTTACATTAGCGAGACTAAGTTTCCCTGTGTTGCTCTCAGCCAGCTTCCTGGTCCCAATTCCAAGCCCCGTTCTTCTGCCTCCTGTACAGTAGGTCATATTTGCTATTGATGGCCTCACTTTAATAGCGTTGTAAAGAATAGGTGTTCCGTGACTGCGTGTCAGTAGCTCCCTGCTTTTCATTGCTGCGTGGTAGCCTAGGGTGTGGAAATACCATGGCTTGTTTACCCATTCACCTGTTGACAGACAGGTAGTTCATCATTAGGGTCTACTAAGAACAGGTTATTATGAACATTGTGTTCATGGCTTTGAGTGCATCTGTTTTTGTCTCTCTTGGGTCAAAAACCTAAAACTGGAAGTTTTCCATCTTATGATAAGTGACTGTCTATCTTTTAAAGAAATTGTGTATTAAAAATATGCAGCCTCTGTCTTTCTTACTTATTGACGGGAATTATTCATACTTTCTGGGTGTGAGTCCTTTGTTGGATGCCTTCCAAATGCCGTGTCTTCACTCGTGACTCACTCTGTCCTTTTCTTGATGGCCTTAGCTGTAATCAAGTTCAGATGAGCAACTTCTATATGTCGAGTGTCTGACTTGGGGAGTAGTCGTGTTCTCCTGGGTGGGTTAGTGAGTCAGCTCTCCCACCCCTGTCCTGGAGCCCAGATTTTCCTCTTCTCTAACTTAAGCCCCTCTGGGCCTCTTTCCACAAAATTCAAATGATGTGGCTGTGGCATTTCCTTCAGGATGGCCATTCTCCTGTGTCTACTTGACTCAGAGATGCCCTGTGCTCACACTGATGATGCAGGCCACACTTGAGGCTGCTGCTGGACAGGCTCCCCTGGAGTGCAGGCTGTGGATGACTCAAGCCTGTCACGAGTCTCTTCAGAGACACACATTGGCTACTTTCTCCATGCATGGCTTCTCTGCCTAGCTTTGTCAGAACCAGGGATATCCAGTGTTCCTATCACTCCCAGACACTGCAGATCCCATTCTTCGCAGGCAAGGAAGGACCACATTAGAATCAGAGATGCTCCTGAAGGGCTTCAGAATTAACTGCACACTGCGTTCATGGTGCTTGAGCAAATGCACTGTTTGCCAAAGGAACAGGTGGTAGAGCTCTTGGATGAAATGGGCTTTTTCTGCGTGAACAATAGCTTCAAAAGAGAAAGGCTATTTATTATCTTTTATGTACCAGGGCTTCGACACCTTCAATTCCCAGAATAGTTTTTCAAAGCAGATATTACTATCCCGTGTTATAGGTAGGTAGGTACTTGTACAGAGCCATCCTGGTTCTAAGTGGTTACCCCTAGATCTCTGTGGCACTGATGCCCAACACTTTGCCCCAGCACACAGAGGCTTATGGGTTTGCAGTAGGATGAATAATAATTGGAATGCACCTTCCACAGGCCCAGAATGCTACAGGTGCTCAGAAGGATTCTTACTCTCGACCCTCCACCCTTCAATTTTGCTGCTTTGTACATGGGACAAAGCCTTCTGGTAGAATGGGCTGCCAATTGATAGTTTTGAATAATGAATGTTTAACCTCCAAGTGGCAACCCGATCACAAGACCTCCTGAAGAGAGCTTAAATATATTCTGCAATGGGGGACCTGTTATAAAAGGCCAGAAGTAGGAATGAGAATAGGTTCGCAGCAAAAATCAAGGGTGATAATGTGCATGAAGCCCCTAGCTCAGGGCTGGGCACTCAGTAAGTCCTCAGTCATTGTTGGTTATGACACAGCTCCAAGCATTGGTAATTGCACATTTCCACCATGTGACAGACAGCTGGCACACACCCTGAATATTTCAAATACCCTTCCCACATTTGACCAGCTCGTCACATTGCAAATTCCTCCTTCCCAACACAGTCATTTCCTTTGGGTCAGCCTCCCTCGCTGCACACATGTGTGATCGGTTCCCTGAATCAGCGTTTCCAGCCCACGACTGATTCAGAAGTGAGTCTCTTCATAAAACAGGATGGGGACACACATTTCATTTGGAGATAGGAATAGCTACTGGAAAGGTTGGTGTGTGGCTGTTCTCACTTCTTAGTAGAGGTGACGTGGCTTTGGAGGTGATTGGCTGCAGCAACACTGCCCGAGCTGGATCTGTGCCAGATTCTGGGAGTTGATTCCAAAAATGGATCCAAGACACATTCCTACAGTTTTGCTTAGACTCCTGGCCATTGAATGCCTCTGCTCATCCTGCTCAGCCCCCCTGGTTATAGCAGATCTTAGTTAGAGTCTCTATTGCTGTGAAGAGACACCATGACCACAGTAACTCTTATAAAAGGAAACATTTAATTAGAGTTAGCTTACAGTTCAGAGGTTTAGTCCACTATTATCATGTCAGGAAGCATGACATGGTGCTAGAGAAGGAGCTGAGAATTCTACATCTAGATTGTCATGCAGCAGGGAGAGAGAGAGAGAGAGAGAGAGAGAGAGAGAGAGAGAGAGAGAGAGAGAGAGAGAGAGAGAGAGACGACACTGGACCGGAGTTGAGCTTCTGAAACCGTAAAACCCACCCCCAGTGACACACTTCCTCCAGCAAGGCCACATGTCCTAATCCTTTCAAATAATGCCACTCCCTTTGAGTCTATGGAGGCCATTTTCATTCAAACCACCCCACTGCCATTTCTAAGAATCTCAATAGAGTCTCCCTCAGCAAGTCTGCAGGTACTGGACACCCTGACCCGAAATGGTGTGCAGGTACTGACACCCTGACCCAGAATGGTGTTAGCAACAGCCATGCAAGCTTCAAAAGACCATGAGAGCGAACTCAATGTTCCTGCCAAAGACATACCCACTTGGGGCAAACTGCATACTCAGCCCTTAGGCGGCTTACCCATGTAGAATGAAGCCGGCCTTGTCCCCAAGCTTTCGGAGTCCTCTTTAAAAGCAGTGTCTGGCATTGACAGTGAGTTTTTGATCTTGCAGTAGGAGTTAGTGTGGATTTGACCTAGGTTCAGGGCTGTGAGAACGGGGTTCTGGGTGCCCTTCTGAGCCTGTAATCTTTTTCTCTCCTCCTGCAGTGTACGAGGTGGTCACAGCCACAGGGGATGTCCGTGGTGCAGGGACAGATGCCAATGTGTTCATCACAATCTTTGGAGAGAATGGGCTCTCTCCCAAGCTCCATCTCACCAGCAAGTGAGTACCACTTTGGCTTGTTGGGGTCCTGGGACATTAGTTTGTTTGGCCAAGTTCTAGAACCTAATGGTGGCCTTCTCCTCTGTAGAGATGGGACAGTTGGACCACAGCCATGTTGAATGTCAAGAGTTCTCTGTCAACAATCTGAGTATCATCTTGAGGATTGCCCAGTACTTTCCTTATAATTCTCCTTTGTCTCATTCTAGAATTTGTAAGCAGTAATGTTTAGTTTAGATCTCCCAAGGGATACATAGGAATATCCCTTGATATTGGAGAATAAGCAATCAGTACTAAGAAACCTGGGTCTAGGACTAGCTTTGCTGCCCTGTTCCATGTAACTTTGCCAAAATCTCAGGGTCTCCAAGGCCTTTATTTCCTTATCTACCATCCTTGGGCAGTTGAGATAATGAATGTCATGAAGAGCATTTGTGAGGGAGCCATGATCTTGAGATGCTCTATGCTGAGGTCTCATGATGGCCAGCATCACATTAAAACTGCCTGGGATCCATGTACTCTCAGTCACATGTCATGTGTATGTGTGTGTGCTCTGCATACACCTGAGCCCTTCACTTTTCCATATCCCTGGAGGGCAGAGACTGCTGTCTACTCTTTGGTCTGTGCCTCGCTGCACACACGCACAAGCAAGCAAGCACAGGGGACCCAAGAGCGTACTGCAGAATGACAGGATTTCAGAGTTGGCTACGGGCCTTAGGAATAGTCTTGCTCAATGGCTTTCACTCAGCCTGTGTTGTCTGGACAGATTTAAGCAGCTGGGGCTGGGTCCACTATGCCCTCATCTTTCAGAGCAGCCCCACTTCTCATTATGTGATCCACTGGGTTTCTGAGCAGGATTCTAACTGAGGAAAAAGTTCCACAGCCATTTAAATCTACTGATCTGTTTTACTCCATTCATAGGAAAACTGAGGCTGGGAGAGAAGCTCACAGCCCTTGAGTGTTTTTGTGGGAAATCTTGCCCTTCATTCATATCTGTGGTATAGACATTTTAATTGACTACATGACTTTGTGGCCCTGGAGTATGCAAAAGACTCCCTTCTAGAGCTACTGATACCACAGGTTGTAGTCTCTAGAGTTGATGGCCTGGTACCTCTTGGGGGAGAGGGGGAAAATCTAGAGAGGTGAAGTGGCCGTGCTAAGAGACTGGAGACACTGTGCTTTGCAGGAGACTAGTCTTGTTATGTGTAAGTACTGAATAAGAGCCCTGGCACCCATGTAGCAACGTTGAGATGGGAATAACATGCTGTTTTGTCCATTTCTGCAGAACAGGGTACCTGCCTCCTTGTACTACTCATATTGCACATGACTCTCGTGGAAGTCTTTCCCTCCTATGATGTGGGCACGGTAAAAGGAATACATGAAATATTCATCCTTTTTGCCATGTCTCCTCCCAGAGGAAGGAGATGCTACTAGACCTGGGAAGGTGGCCAGCTGGTTTTTGCAGTCTCCAGCCTGCCTTTCAAGTAAAACCATCCTTTTATCTTTTCGTAGTGGTCTCTCACAGTTTTCCCTTCTTTTATGTACCCAGAATCCTTGGCTTCCTTCCCTCCCTGCTTGTCAGTTTACCAAACTTTCTTTCGGGGAGGTCCAGATCACTGATGTAACACACTGAGAAGGGTTGTGACTGAGTGCCCACCGCCAGGGAGCCTGGCTTTCAGCTTTCCCCCTCGATGGGATAAGAACAGGTACCTGGAGGCACAGGTAGGAAAGGTATGGGTGGGTTGACAGAGCCGGGAGGGCATGGGAGCCAGCTTCTGCAGACCAGCCTAGGGCATGGGAGCCAGCAATCCCAGAGACCACTGAAGACTGCTGGGGAGGCTCCTGGAGAGAATCTCTGCCTAGATCCGTGTCACGCTTGAGATTGGAAAGCAAAACCATGGGAGTGGATGGGAGCTTGATCCGCTAGTCAAGGCAGCTCAACAGCAGCGTGAGGGTGGGCACGGGTGGGGATACCAGCAGGGTGCTGCTGACACTAGAGAGGACTGCGCAGGGAAGCAATGGCTCTGCAGTGGAAACGGGTGTCCCCAGCTCTGCACTTGTCCTGGGTCATGGCGAATAGGCAGAACTCAGCAGATCCCTGACACATCATGTGGCCGGAGCGACACTTCACAGGGAAGGGCATTAACAGGCTTTCGGTGCTGAAATGAACTCGGATAAGAAAGGAATCCAAAAAATAGGTCAGACCCGGAGGAACAGTTTGCCAGGGTATGAACAGTGGAGGCCCCATGGGTGGGAGCTGCTGGAATGGCCAGTGGGAGCCATGTTGCTGTGTTGAGGCATATGGGAAAGGCTGGAGGCCAGACTGGAAGGTCTTGCCTGAAAGCCAGTCTGTGGATGCTGAGTTCAGAGTGGCAGCTGACGTCATCTTGCTAGTGAGCGCGATGGAAGGGAAGCAAGAGGCCAGAATTTGGCCACGGTGAGAAACGGAGGGAGAAGACTACAAAGAGAATTGTGTAAAATTCTGCCCATGACCTCCCTGCAACTCAAGCTGGACCGAGTTCGGGAGGGGAAATGTGACTTTCTGAGGGTTTGGAATGCATCACACATGGGTGGCAGGTGAGGTCACCTCTGGGTTCCCATGTAATGCGAGATATGCTGCCTCCTCCTCTGTCTCCCCACACGTCACAGTCTGCCAGTTCCTCTTCTCCACACTCAAACCAGCTCTCAGCCTAACCCACTGAGTGACCTGCAGCATGAATCTTTGTACACATGCACACATGCACAGACACACACATGCACACACACTCACATGCACACACACTTTCACATACACATGCACATGTGTATACACACACACACACACACACACACACACACACACACACACACACACTTTGGTATGTAAGACTTCTCTGATAGCTCTGGGCCCCAGAAAGCTTTCACACTGCCTAGTGCAAACAAGTCAGTTGTAGCTCTCCCAGTATTAACATTCAACCTTGATCTTTCTTGGCACTCCCCCTAAACCCTTCCCACGGCCTCTGGTCACACCTCTCATCTCTTGTCTCCTGTCTTCCCTTTTTCTCTCTCATCCTGATTTGAGCTCATTCCTGTGCCCTTTCCTGTGTCCTAGAACACAGAATCCCACATGATTTAGCAGTTTTCACCCCTCACCCAATATAACACATTTTTTATTTCAAGAAAATCTTTGCTATCTGACTCCTAGGCAGCAAAGACGATGATGTTCACTTAGTTCTCACATGAGAACCCTCACTCAATCTCCACCCCAGTGAGGTCCCTACAAAATGATTTCCAGAGGAAGTCTCCATCCTCTGGGTTTTCCGTTTTCCCCCTGTTGCCCAGGAGGCTACATGTTTAAGATATGGCAAAAGGATGAGATTTCATGTATTTTATGGATGTTGTTTTTCCTGCTGAGAAGTCACACCCCAGTGTGTGAGAAAGTGCCTGGCATTTTAGTTTGGAAGCTCTGCCTAGCTGGTGTCTAAAATGCCAGGTGCAGCCTTCTGAGGCTCTCTCTGGGGGAAGTCCCTGCTGAGTGGTGATATGGGAAGTGTACTTTATTTCAGGAAGTTGCAGGAGCCATGGCGGGGCCCCGCCTCCCCCTGGGAAATGCAAAGAGCTTGCATTTCTGTTTCCTTTGGGGTTTCTAACCTAACCTTGGTCAGTTTTCTACAGCGTTTGTATTCTGGCTTTCTAGAAATGGACATTCCAGACTCAGTCCCAGAGTGGGTGGGGCTGAGGATTTGTTTGGGATAGTCCCCCAGTCTTTCCTGAGAGTGGACAGCCAGTCAAGTTTGTCTGTAGCTCTTTCTTCTCTGAGGATGGAGATGCCAAGAGCAGGTTGGTCTCCATGGGTGAAGTTAGCATCACATCTGGCCAGGAACCATCTCAGGCCCCAACAGCATGGCCTTTAGATCGCCTAGAGTGTCTCTGGCCCTGCTGGTCAGGTAGATCTCTCCCCTGCTTCTCTGCTCCCTGCTACAGTGGCTGCAAAGCAGCATGGGCTGATTTTTCAATAAGCACAACAGAGCATGACATGCATTTATGGCTCTCCGTTGCTGAAGGAAGCTCTTAGAACTTCCCTTCCAGAATCCTCCTCAGAGGCACCTCGGAAACCAAGCTGCCTTCCTTCATACTCATCTTCTGCGGGCCACAGAAATATGAAGTAGGAATTCAGCTGACTATGACAAAGCTAGACCTGGAAGAAGCCAGGGGCCTTTCCAGAGGACAAAGCCGGAGCTTAAGGAGTCTTGGTGATACTGGTTTTTGAATATTGGCCATTTCCTGCTATGAATTTCTCATGTGCTATTGTAGCTTTTCCATCCCTAAAACAGTGTGCTTGATCATTCACTGGGCACAATTACCCCCATACAATTAAAGTATTTGCATATACATCTCCCAACTGTGCTAAAAGCAGTCACACAGTCAGACCCCTAATTTCAGGCCTTTCCGTAATTATTGTCATTAGCAACATCTGGACAGGACCTCCTCCAGATAAAGTATCTTATCTGAGATACTTGGCAGATTTTCTAAGAACAGACTGCAGCATCCAGACTGTTCCTGAGGAAAGATAAGAATCTACAATGAGACAACTGCCCAGGCCTGGCAGATGTGCTAATTAAGCTTAGCCTTCTTCCTTCCAAGTGCTATCTCAGTTCTAGATCTCCCTTTAACCATTAGCCCAGAATTAAAGGGCTTTTACTTACCAGGTATATATCTAGCTGTGATGCAGGTCGCCTAGCTACCGAGCAGACTTGCCTTACCCAACCAGAAAGCAGCAGAGCCAGAGAGCTGCAGATTGTATGTGTATTTTAAACGGGACTGGGGAGAGAGAAAAGGGAAGATTAGAAGAGAGGACTAGGGGAATGAGATGGAAGATGGAGAAGAGCTAGATGGGGAAGAACAAGATGGGAGAATTAAGATAGAACTTAGAGATAACAGCAGAAAATAGTAGAGAGAAATCAGGCAAGAAAGGCGCTAAGTATGAGAGCAGAAAAGATGCTTCAGAGAAAGAACTGAGAGAGAACTGATTCAGAAGAATAAAGTGAATGGACTAAAGAGTTTCGTGTACTTAGATTCACTCAAGAACCCCCTCATGTTAATTAATCCACCACTGGTAGCATCTCTTCTGGAACTCGGCGAAAAGACTATAGAGAGGCTGGACCCCAATAGTATTTGTTACTCATCATTGGCTGAAATGGTCTGGGGACATTTCTCTCCTTGTCCTCTGCTTCCTGTAGTCTGTTTCCCAGGTTCCTTGCACTTTTAGATGACACTCACCATTCTCAGACCTTCAGAGACTGTGTCCTTGGCAGCCTGTGGGCTGGGTTGGGTGTGAGGAGTGGGGTGAGGGGCCCTGAAGCATGGGGAATCACAAAATCAGTACGTGTTTTTTTTTTTCAGAAAATGTGGAAATTCATATAGACAACAACAAATAAGCCATTATAGTCTTAGCCTCTAGACATGCCATTGTATATTTGTATAAATTCTCCCACTCATTGTTTTGAGATGACGATGGTGTCCCATTTGCATTGATTGTTCTGCTCACAGATTCCATCTTAGCATGTTTTTAAGCTTGTATTATAAACTTCGTGTTCTTTTTATAATAGGATTCTTAATAGCTACAAAGCATTCAATCATACAGCTTCCCAGGGTCTATTCCTTAGGGTGTTTACTTAATGCAGAAATTTTTGTCGATTTATTCTAAAAAATCTGTTACTTTGTGTCATGTATTGAAAGAGAAAATACCATTTATTCACTTTTTTTTTGGTTTCTCATTCACAACATCTTAATGTGAAGAATTGATGTCCGTGCATTTCCCAAGTTATTTCACAGCTGCTGTGGCAGAACCAGGGGTTGGGGTGTCCTGTTGTTCTCCACAGATGCAACCCCCTACATCAGCAGACCTTCATAGCACTGGTTTGGTTTGATTCCATTTTCAACACTGGATCCAGAAACTCTATTTTCCCAGGAAGAAGACTAGCTCGTTCTTTGGAGGAGGCATTTTTGTCTGCGCACTTAAAATGGCATTGCTGGCCCCGCCCTTCCTCCCTGGACAGCACCCACCTGAGCTCAGACGTACGCCACCAGCCTGGGAGTCTCCGCTTCTCTACAGCTAGCCTAGTCACGTCCATCACTCCTCTCCCCATTCTCTGTCCCCAGGTTTCTCCTCGGGTTCTCTTTTCCTTCACAAGGCTGTCTTAGTGTATGTCTTCACCGGCTCCGCTCTTTCTTATGAGGCTTGGACCCTGCCCTATTGTGCCCCTGCCTCTTAAGGAAAGATTGTTCCCCAGAGTGGGTCCATTTGCAGAATCCCAGCTTCTGGGCCCTGAAGAACCTGGAAGGTCCTCTGTGCCTGACCTTCAGCCTGTGGCCTGGGGGAGAAAGCCCTTCACCCCTTAATTTTGAAGAAAACCGATGGCTAGTAGCAATCATAAGCTCAGGTTATATAACTTTCTGTGGCTATAATAAATACCTCAAATAAACCAACTAAAAAGAGAAAAGGGGTATTTTGCTCTGAAGCTTTGGGGGTTTTGGTCCATAATCCGTTGGCTGCCTTGCTTCTGGGGCCATGGCAAGTCAGCACCAGTTGTAAAGAAAACTGTTCAGCTCAGAGCAACCAGGAAGTAAGGAGAGAAAGAAGAGTCCCCATGGGGTCCCAACATCCTCTTCAAAGGCCTGTCCTCAGTGACCTGACTTTCCTCCACTGGACCCTACCTTCTTTATTATACAGTGCTGGGAATCAAACCCAGGGCCTCAGGCATGCCAGGAAAGTGTTCTATCACTGAGTTACACTCCAAGTTCCAACCTTTTAAAGGTTTCCAATAGTGACTGGGTATGTATGGGGTGTGAGACTTTAGTGGGCTGTCTGAGAACACATTTGATGTGTAAAGCATAGCATAAGCAAATGTCTTCTGTGCGTTTCTCTCTTCTGGCCGTGTGCTGGTCCCATGAGCCCTGGCTGGAAGCACACAGTCCCTCAAACCACAAGACCCAGCTATGAGGCGGGCAAAGCTCCTCGGGGGTCTGGGCTCTCATGGCTGGATTCTTAGCCCACGTGGAAGATGAAATAGATGCTAGCATGAGACTTAGGTGTCCGCTCCAGAAGATCCTGGGGCAAGGTGCCTTGAGCCTCCCATGTGTAAGCGACTTGAGTTTAGGATGTGAAGAAGCTGGTACTGGCCTGGGCGCTACACTGCCTCACGCTTCAGGTGTATTTCCTCTGACTGCAGTTGGTCAGGTGGCAATCATGTTGACCCTAAGTGCCCCCACCTCCGCGGTTGCTGGACTAGGGGTGGGACAAAGGTTTCCCCATTCTCCTTGCAATGGCAGGGCCACAGGTTGCTACCCAAGGTCTGCATCTACTTTGGGGCTGACATTGCAATTCTTCTCACAAAAAAGGGCAGGCGAGGGTGAGCCGAAAGGGTCCCTGCAGAAAAGAAGTTCCAGGCATCCATCACCCCCTCCTTCTCCTCTGCCCTGAACAGACCCTGGTTCTTCTACTGGCTAGTGGTTTGCATGTCCACACAACAGTGCTGGTCTCGCCCACTGTGCTTGTGTTAGTGACTTATAGCAATAATCAAAGGCACGCCTGGATGCGAGCCTAAGCATGGTGCCTGCCTGCCCTTCCCCTCCGCCTCTCAGACTGTGTCAGAGAGAAAGCTCAGAATGGTAGCTAGTTGCATGCAGCTCTTCCCATGAGTGGGGTAAGGAGGAGAAGAGCATACCAGCCTTTGGTTCTGCTCCTGGTCCCATGCGACACATTATGAGTGGGACTAACTGCACATGTTCACTGCAGGAGTGAATCCGCTTTCGAGAAAGCCAACGTTGACGTATTCCGGGTGCGAACCAATAATGTGGGCCTCATCTATAAAATCAGGTGAGAGTTTGCCCCTGACCACAGGTGGGATGATCAAGATTGGTATTTTCTGGATATTTAATATTCAACTGGCTGACATTTGAGGAATTGCTAAAAGCTGGAATTGTGGCCTGTCTCCCCATCCTCCTGCCCCCATCCTGAATCACAGAGTTCCAAACTGCCCCATTAGAGACTTGCTTTCACGGGATAGGACAGTTTGATACAATTCTCCACACAGTTGAGATATAAGCTCTTACAGACACTGACACATGGTAATTGGGAGCAAATCTCTGGGTCCAAGTCCAAGGACTTGCTCTGCTGTTTTTTAGCTGTGGGATTTTAGACAGTTTATCTTTCCATGCTTCTGCTTCCTCCTCTCTAAAAATGGTGCTTCATCTATATAATGCTAGAACTCACTGAGTCAGTGCATAGAGCAACCACCAAGCACTCAGTGAGAGCCGTGTGGCAAGAAGCTGTTGCTGGAGAGCTTCTCTCCAGGTTCCACCAAGCCCTGCAGTCCCACAATCCACGTATAAAATAATCACTCAGACACTTATATTACTTATAAACTGTATGGCTGTGGCAGGCTTCTTGCTAACTGTTCTTATATCTTAAATTAACCCATTTTTATAAACCTATACCTTGCCACATGGCTGGTGGCTTACCGGCGTCTTTACATGCTGCTTGTCCTGGTGGTGGCTGCAGTGTCTCTCCCCACTTCTTCCTGTTTCCCCAATTCTCCTCTCTCCTTGTCCCACCTATACTTCCTGTCTGGTCACCGGCCATCAGTGTTTTATTTATATAGAACAATATCCACAGCAAGAAGCCTTTGGATGGAGCATTCCCCTGATGCTGTTCTCGCTGGGGGAGTTTCCATGAATTGTATGAAAAGGGATCACTTCCAGCCTGCCTCCAGAGGAAGAACATTTGACCATTCCCTAACCACCCCTATTCAGCTCATGCTCACTTGAGGGTCATCTGTGGTCTGACTGCCCCCTAACTGGGGCCTGGACAGGGCTCAAATGCAGCTTCAGTTCAGTCCTGATTTTCTTTCTCTCACTAGAAAATTTGGGACCACAGAGTCCCTTTGCTGGGAGAGGAAGAGGACACAAGGGGCCACAGACACTGGTTGTGTGCAGGGGAGGGGATATAAGCAGGGAGGGGGTTCTTGTGGAGAGGTGCAGAGCAGAAGCTGGTACGTGGGAAAGTGACCGAAGTCTTCCTGGGTGTCAAACTCTGTGCCAGGCAGAGGCATATGACCCTGTAGAGGACAGGCCCAATGTATCAGGCTGGTCATCTGTTTTTTGGGGTGATGGGCTGTACTGGACGGTTAGTTCCTGGGATAAAGCTTCAAAATGATGGGCTGGGATGAGATGTTCCTTGTACCATGATGTCATCCAGTGGCCATGTTCTAGGGAAGAAATTAGGCAGAGCTGTAAGAAGTGAGAAGATTTGGGGCATGGACTCAAAAGAATTTGTATCTATGTCACCCAGTACAGGAGGCATGTGGCTGTTATGCATTTAAAATACAGCTGACTCACACCAAGTGTGTTGTGTGGATAAAACAGACACCAGGTTTTTTTTTTTTTGAGACTTAGCAGAAGAAAAATAATGGACAACATATTGTTAAATTTTTACATGGTTATGTGCTAAAATGGTAAGTGGGAGATAGAGCATATTATTAAAATCCACCCTATCCGTGTCTTCATATCTTCAAAACCAAGGCTACTAGAACAATATAGAATTGTATGTTTCGCTCATGTGAACTTTCCATGGGATAGTCTTGTTCTAGAATGGAACCCTTGGACGATGACACTAAGGATAGTGTCCGGGGTGAGAGTCACTGAGAGAGGGACTTGATCGACTCAGAGTGAGGGGAGGGGGCACTTTACCCCAGGGACTGTGTCCTGCCAAGTCCAAAGGTCTAGGTAGCTCCTGCTCTCTGCTTATTCTTTCATGCCCTCCTTTAGTAAGGACTGGGTCGGCTGCCTTTTCTATCTTGACTTTGATAGAGGTGATGTGTATGTACAACTCAGGTCGGAGCAGAAAGGGTACAGGGCTGGCAGAGATCAAGGTTAGGAAACAGCATATGGCCAGCCAGGCACAGATCAGGGTGTTCCAACCAAGGACCCCTGGGGATTTTCCCATGAAAGAAAATATTTCCCTGTGGCAGAGTGAGGATACAACAGGCATTAATATGCACATCTACCTTGCAAAATATCCCCATTAATAGACGAGGAAGCTTAAAGCCAAAGGAAGCAAATGACCAGCCCTCTCTCTGGAGTAACCATTGGGTGCCCTCGTATGGAAGGGGCGCCGCCCTGGTTCTGCCGGTGAAGTGTGGGTGTTGGCTTCTGCCCCAGGATCGAGCATGACAACACCGGCTTGAACGCCAGCTGGTACCTGGACCGAGTGATAGTGACCGACATGAAGAGGCCCCATCTCCGCTACTACTTCAACTGCAACAGCTGGCTGAGCAAGGTGGAAGGTGACCGCCAGTGGTGTCGTGACCTCCTAGCCAGCTTTGACCCCATGGACATGCCCAGAGGTCAGTAGCTAGCTTTGTCTTCCCATCATGCCCATGCTCTGGAAGTCCACCTCCCCCCCACCCCACCATGCTTTCCTCCTGATTTAGGCCAAGTGAAATCCCATCTGTGCTGGCTAGTATTTGTCTGTGGAAGAGGAAAGGGACTTTGGGGCAGGAGAAGAGGGGCGGTTTCCTATGGCCAGTTACTCAGCAGAACGACACATTAGCAAAATCGCTGGCTCTGCCCTCTGACATATGCCCATGCTATCTCCAGGTCCCTCCTCCCCCCAGTCCATCCGGCAGAAGTAAGCATCACCTCTGGTCTCTAGGCTGTGGTTCTGTTTCCCTACCTACCTCCAAGATTCCACCTCTTAAGCAACTTCGAGCCCCAGGCATTTCCATCTATAATCCTTATTGCACTAAACCCAAAACCTCATTGGTTCTTTTAAAAAATGTTATCAAGGTTTTATTTTCTTACAAAGCCAAATTTCATCATTGCACAAAGTTTAGAAAATAGACACATAAAAATATAAAATAAGAATACTTTAATCCCATCACCTAGAAAAATACCACCCACCAGTGACAGATGCATTAATTTCTAGTCCCTTCCATGCATATGTGCTATGAAATAATGGGCTGGCATGTCATCTGTTCTATAGCATGGTTATTTCTATGCCACTGAATATTACTTAATATTCCTATTTCCAGTGGCCATGTATGGTCTAGAACAGTAGTTCTCAACCTGTGAGTTGCAATCCCCAAAGACCACCAGAAAACACAGATATTTACACCACTATTCATAATAGTAGCAAAATTACACTCATGAAGTAGCAATGAAAATAATTTTATAGTTGGAGGTCACACGAGGAACTGTAATAAAGGGTCACACAGCATTAGGAAGGTTGAGAACTACTGGTCTGGAATATGTCATTTGGTCACTGAATCTCTCATCATTGGACATCTATGGTCTGTTTCTCTTCTTAAAAAACACACCCAACTGGGCGGTGGTGGCGCACGCCTTTAATCCCAGCACTCGGGAGGCAGAGCCAGGTGGATCTCTGTGAGTTCGAGGCCAGCCTGGGCTACCAAGTGAGTTCCAGGAAAGGCGCAAAGCTACACAGAGAAACCCTGTCTTGAAAAACCAAACCAAAACAAAACAAAACAAAACACCCAAATGCATTGTTTAGATTTTAAAGCTCTTTTGCTATGATAAATTCCAAAGTGGAATTTCTAAGTCAAACAGTACGCCTATTAGTTAAAGCTTTAAAAGAATTTATATGGTATTTGTGTGTGTGTGTGTGTGTGTGTGTGTGTGTGTGTGTGTGTAGTGCATGTGTGTACAAATGCAGATTTGCCATACTGCCCATGTGGAGGTCACAGGACAGTTTGAAGGAGTTCATTCTCCCCTCCGTGTGGATCCCAAGAACCAAGTTCTCGTTGTCATGCTTGACAACAAATGCCTTTGCCCACTGAACCATCGAACTAGCCTGGTTCAGGTTTTTGATGCACATTTCCAAATGGCCACAGGAAGTAGATATCGGACAGAGCACAGCCTCATAAATGCAACACTACCAACACTTGGTTAGTATAGTGTGACTTTTCAGCTGGATCGTAAAAGGTCCTTTCAATGTTCTTCTTTGGTTACTAGTATGATTGAACATTTCATGTTTATTGACAGCTGTCTACTTTTAAACTTTGTTTTTTGATAAATTCTATTATATATATTTGAGATTTACATGAAGTCATGGAGTTCTGAGATATGTTATGGATAGTAAAATGATCTCTCTCTCTCTCTCTCTCTGTGAGTGCGCACTCACACTCGAGTACATGGTCACATGCATGTGGGAATTGTCTGTTCATTGCTCTTTCCTGTCTTCCTCTGGGGTAAATTTCAGATTCCCCTCAAACTGTACACGTCTTGAGTTGTTGACAGCATCTGTCAGGTCAGTCCACAGCAAGCTATCATCTCTTCCTCTTCTCTCTCTCTGTTCTTGGAATTTTCCCGCTTCCAGCTTCTTATCTTACCTCCTGCTTTGGCCACACAAAAGTCTGGGGTAGCACTGTCGGGAGAAAAGCTCCTGGAAAGTCCCCCACTAGGAGAGAAGGTAGCTCAGTGGTCCTCTAGCTTCCCACGAGAGTCAAGTGCAGCTGACCCGATGCCCGAGCCTTTGCGCGGGCCCAGCCTCATCGCCGGCCCCAGGACACCAGGTTTTGGTACTTCCAGCCTAGATTCCAGCTAAAGAAATGAAAAGAATCTTCAAATACTGACTCAACTATACCCGCTAACAAAAGGTCAAGGCTTTTTGTTTTTCAACTGGAATCCCACCGACTTGATACTGGGCTGCTATTGAAGGCCTTTAATGATAAAAACGGGGAAGAAAATTAGTTTTTCACTCATGTCACTTAGTAGGAGGAATATTTAAAACTTGCACAGTAGGCAGTAATGGGATAGAGGAAAGGGAACAATTTCAATTTATTACCACCAAGCCCCAGCGCTGCCCAAGGAGATGGTTGTTTCACAGACCCGTTGCTCTTTTCTCCATCCCCAAGCGGGCATTGCTATGAGTTCTGACTGATACTCAACTGAACCTTCTTCTCTTCAGGGAAGGCAGGTGTTCTAGGATGTCCCGAGGACCCTCCGACTGGGCAGATCAGTCAGCAGGCAGCCATGGAATGGGAAGGCAGGATGGAGCAGGATCCAAGTATCAAGTATCAGGCACCAGAGAGCTTTCCCTGTGGGTAGCAGCAGAGGGCAGCAGTGGACCCGAGACAGGGTCTCAGAAGCTCCCCTTTAAATGCACTTCTCAAGCAAGTGCCCAACATGTTCCTAATGTTCAGAGAGACAGCCTTGTTAGTTAGGACCGCCTTCTCCTTTCCTGGAGCCCAGTGAGTAGAAAGAGGACGTTAGGAAAGGCAGAGGCAGGAGGTCATGAAGGAAGTAGGTAGATATTGATCAGCCTCACAACTTCACGGAGAGAGGACCTTAAGATGGAAGACCTTGCCACTGAGTTTGGTTTCTCAGTTGATCTCAGCAGGTTGAGAAATGCCCTGTATGGCTTCTTAAGGAAGTCAGGCAGCACAACCCACCCAAAAAGCCTGTCCTCTGCTTCCCTGAGCCTGGCTGTCAGGCTTTGGGGACCCACAACCGGGACTTAATTAGACAGCTCCTTCCCCAATCCACCCAAGGGTTCCCCAACCCTAGTCAGTCCCATTCCACCTTCAAGGGTTTTACCTCCTTCAATCACCATGTACATAAGGCATCACTCTTCCTTATTCACCTTTTAATAGCCTTGTGAACTTGCCTAAAACAAAAGGTATGGCATAAATACTGCTCTCCATAGAGCTACACACCAGTACACAGTAATGTGAATACACCTTCTTAGACGATCCTCGTATATGAATACTGGGATCTCCCAGACCACCCAGTATACAGATCACACCTGGGGAGACAGCACTGGCTCCTTCTGAAAGCAGAGGAGGCAGAGAAAGAGGAAAGGCAGGAGGTGCCAACCATAATTGCCTCTCTTCTTAAGTCCTTGCTTAACTGGTCCCACATCTTTGAGGATGAGGTGAAGAAGGTCCTCATAGGTGTTAACTGCACTGAGGTTCATCGAAGGCCAATTGAAGATTGCTGAAAGGGCTGGGACTAGAGTAAAGGTCAGCTTATCTTCAGCTGAATTGCCTCCTGCCTGTATCTTGGGCAGGGCAAGATCAAGGGCAAATTAGCCTGGCTCTGTGAGAGCTCTATGGAGTCACGGAAGTCAGCTGTTCCAACCTCCTGCTGTCCTGGGTGACCCTCTCCCACCTTCACACCCTTCTTGAGTGGCAGGCAGTTCTCAGTCTCCCAGGGTGACCCTGCCACTACAAAGCAGCATTGATGATGAGAAAGCTATTTTTTGAAATTGAACCCTTAGCCCTCTCCCGGAGTCTTCTGCTTGTCTTGCTCCAGGCCTTGCTTGACAGACAGTATCCGGCCCATACAGGTCTTCAGGGAAGGGGTTCTCCTGGCTAGAACTCAGTTTTAGAGAAGGGGAGAGGGGTTTCTCCAGGTCAGGTTGAACACTTCTCTGATTCCGCTATCTTGTTCTTCTGTTTTTAATTGTAGGGCAATGTGCATGAACAAACATGACCATTTCAATCTTTTTAAGGTTATAGTTTAGTGGCAGTAAGCATACTCAAGGTGTTTTTTTAACCAGCCCATCATCTGCCTCCAGAACCTTCTCTCTTCCTAAACTGAGACTCTGTCCTTATTAAACTCGAGCACATAGGCTCTCTCCTCCCAGGCCCTGATCACCTCAGGTCTGTTTTCTGTTTCTCTGAATTTGACAACTCTAATAACCTCGTGTAAATGGAATTACACAATAATTGTCCTTTCATACTTGGCTTATTTCACTTAGCACAATGCCTTCAAGCTTCATCCACCCAGTAGCATATGTCAGAACTTAATTTCTTTTTAAGAGAAATAATATTTAATATAATATATACTGCATCTTCACTCATTTCATCTATCTCTCCGTGTGTGTGTGTGTGTGTGTGTGTGTGTGTGTGTGTGTGTGTGTGTACATGAGAGAGATATTTGGGCTGTTAGTACCTTTTGGTCATTATTGATAAAGCTTCTTGGGAACATGGGTATACAGGTTGAGTTGCCGCTTTCAGCTCTGCTAGATGTACACCAAGGGGTAGGTTATACTTAGGATTAGGTCAATCCTGTATTGAATTTTGAGGAATTCCCATACTGTTTTGGATGGTGGTTGCAACATTCCTGCATCCTCTCCTACAGTGTTGAGAGTTCCAGTTTCTCTACATCATGACCAGTGCTTATCCTTTTGATAATACTATCCAGTAGACACGCATTTGTATCTCTTTGTGGTTCTGACTTGCATTTCCATAATGATTCATAATATTGATGATTTCTTCATATGTGCTTCTTGGTCATTTGCATATTTTCATTGGAGAACTATCCATTTAAATCCTTTGCACGTGTTTTAGATATCAAGTTGTTTTGATTTTGTTCTTGTTGA